ACTTGATATCAGGGACTGATCCTTGGGCCTTCCAAAGACAAATTCAGGGCTCCTCCAGTATCCATGATCTCCTGGAGTCAAGGAGGTCAGGGTTCTGTTCTCTGATGAACTAAGCTTTCTGTCAGTATGAAAAACTGAGCACACAATGCACAGTGAACAATGCATTTTTTTTTCTTTTTTTAAAGAATTCTATTAAAGCACAAAATTTAATCATTAGGGTAGTCAGGGTCCCAAAGCAGAGCAAGGGAGACTCATCAGCAACCCCACCACTTGGTCAATGCTCCAACCACCACTTGATTTCACAAGGCAAATGTCAGCTACTGCGGGCCTAGCAAAGCCCAGGAGAAAAGCAGCCTGCCTTAGTGTGTTCTGTGGTGTGAGTAGCACACAGTAAGCGATTTGTAAAAAAAAAAAATTATTACAATTTTGGAGTCTGGGAGGTCCAATATCAAGGTGACAGCATCTGGTGAGGCCTTCTTGCTGTTTCATCCCAATGCAAAAGGGCAGGGAGAGGGGAACCACTCCAAAAATCCTTCCTGAGAGGGCAGATCCTTTAGGGCCCACTGTCCTCTTAAAGTGCCCACCTCTTCATGCTGTTACAGTGGCAATTAACACCAGTTTTGGAGAGGACAAATGTTAAAACTATGACACAGCACCACACAGCTAAAGAGGTGAACTCTCACCACCCTGCTGGATGCCTCCCAACAAATTTGTATGGTTTTATTTTAGTTTGTTTGTTTGAGTTTTGACCAGATTTTGAAGCTGTCCTCAGCTGGAGGGTTTAGATTACCTCTATTACTTTGTCGAGAATAAACCTGGATACTAAAGCTCACCATCCACAGCAAACAATGCATTTTTTCTTTCTTTTTTTAAACCACCTCAGGATCTGAATGTAAATTAAAGTGAAACTAGATCACGAGTAACCTCTGGTACCTTCCCAAAGCACATGTAAATTCTCTCTGAAGAAAGTGAACATAACCCAACAAATATTGCTGGGAAAACTGAAAACCCATATGCAGCAAAATGAAACTAAACTCAACTCAAAGTGGATCAAGGACCTACGGATTAGACCAGAGATCCTGCACATAATAGAAGAAAAAGGAGGCCCGAATCTTCATGATGTCAGATTAGGCCCCAGCTTCCTTAATAAGATTCCTAAAACACAATAAATAAAATCAAGAATCAATAAATGGAATGGATTCAAACTAAAAGGCTTCTTCTCAGCAAAAGAATGAGGTGAAGAGAGAGCCTACGTTTTGGGAGCAAATTTTTGCCACATGCA